TAGAAACAGGTCTACCAGGCCAAGGCGTTGAAGCAGCTGCACAAGGGCAGTTCTGACCCTGGGGTAATGCAGGAACTGCGCACAGCGACGGACCTCGCCCTCTGGGCGACAAAAGTCACAGCGCGGTCCCTCGGTCAGACGATGTCCACCCTGGTGGTCCAGGAACGACACCTATGGCTGAACCTGGCAGATATGAGGGAGTCCGACAAACACCGTTTCCTGGACTCCCTGATCTCCCAGCCTGGCCTCTTCGGCGATGCGGTGGAGAGCTTCGCCCAGCAGTTCTCCGCCGCACAGAAGCAGACGGAGGCGATCAGACACATCCTGCACCGGCGGCCCGCTGCTGTCATAACCCCGCCGCCGACTGTAGTCCCTCCGCTTGCTCGTCACCGAGGGCACCATCCTACTGCCTCCACCTCCGCTCCAGCTCGGCCTCAACAGCAGCCTCCACACCGGCCGCGGCGTGGAGCTGGCAGCAGGAAAGCGGCGCAGCCTGTCTCTGCCCCTGCCAGGCCCGTTAAGCACCAGGGCAAGCGGCGTCCCTGAGACAGGCGACCCGGAGACTCTGGATCCTGCTCTTCAGGAGGTGGTGAGGGCACCACTCCTTCCCCCGGAGGAGGGCCGGGTGGAGAATATTTTGTTTCCCTTTTGTTTTGTACCCAAACATTCAATAAAAGAGCAGTTTCCTATTTCTCCAGGTCTGAAGAGGGCGAGGATGGCAGTGTGCGAGACACGGCCTCGACACTCCCGTCCCCCTCTCCTTTAGCCAGCGGGCAGCAGGGCCCGGTTCGAGGACAATATGCCTTCTCATGCGCCCCCTGCCCAACCGTGGAGCCAGGTAAGTGTTGCACCGCACACTCAGACCCCACTCCGGGATGCTGTGCCTTCCGGGTCGGGTCCCTGTGCTCCACCTCGCTGCCCCACTGCGGGTACGTCGGTGGTTCCCCTAGTTCCTCTTGTTCAGGTCCTGGGGTCCTGGCTAGCGCTCCCTAGACTGTCTCGCTGGCTCACGAGAACCATCAGACTCGGCTATGCGATTCAGTTCGCCCGGCGTCCTCCCAAGTTCAGGGGCATTCGGTTCACCTCTGTGCCGAACAAGGATGCTCCCGTCTTGCGAGCAGGCAGTGGCTGTGAAGTGTTGAAGTGCAGTCATCAATGCAGGACTCTCAAACTCCGCTTCTGGAGCTACAACACTCAAAACCTGGCATCTCTTGTGGAGTTGATGAGTGAATTAATTTCTCATGTACCAACTAATTAGGTTTGAATCAATGTGGAGGACACATGTTAAAAATGTTTGTTTTTAGCATAATTTACTAAACCCACACTACAAAAGAATCAAAGAATCACGTAAAAAAAACAGTGAACCTTGAGATTATTATGTGTGACATTAGAAAAAAATATGTGGATATAATAACAAAAGTATAAAACTAAATTGAAATTTCATTTAATGTTTTCATTTCATTGACGATTTTATTAAACATAGACCTTTACTTTCATTGTTTCTGCTATTGTAGGCTCATTTCATAAATATTGTCACAAATTCAGCCTCTGTGGCTCCCTCCGATCACCACCAGAGGGAACCATCACCGGAGTACTGAGCGATTCCTTCGGACTCCAATTCCCACAATGCCCCATGCCAGAGACTAATCACCTGCACAGGTGTTTCCTATTGCCCGGTCTATTTATACTGTGCCTTCCCTGCTCTCATTGCAAAGTCTTGTTTTGCCTTGCAGACATTTCTGAGCGGTTTCCCTGAGTTGAATTCCTGTTGATTACCTGGACTGTTTACCCGTTTATGATTGCTTGCTGTCTACCTATTCTGACCCTGCCTACCTTGTTGATTCATACCATTGATTGTCTGCCGCCTGCCTCGACCCTTATTACGAACACTGTTTACGATTCTGCCCAGGCTTCGTTGGTTCTAACGCCTGTTAACGATTTATGCCTGTCTGACCTGCCTTGTGAACTAATAAAGCTGCACATAGATCCTAACGCCACTGCCTCTCTGTTACAAATATACGCTATTTGTTTAATGCAAATGTAATTTGCAAAATTTACAAAATCAGGTGATTATGTTTGCCCATCTATGCAAATGTCTCTTTATGTATAGAGACAAAAGAATGAGCTTCGTTGGTTCTAACGCCTGTTAACGATTTATGCCTGTCTGACCTGCCTTGTGAACTAATAAAGCTGCACATAGATCCTAACGCCACTGCCTCTCTGTTACAAATATACGCTATTTGTTTAATGCAAATGTAATTTGCAAAATTTACAAAATCAGGTGATTATGTTTGCCCATCTATGCAAATGTCTCTTTATGTATAGAGACAAAAGAATGAGGTTAATCTCTGCCTGTCATGTCAGATTATAGTGATTGTCTCATTAACACAAAACAACTTCAAGCAAATAGTGTTAAATCATATCTAAATTAATTTTAATCAAACTAGGAGTAATTGTCCTCTAAAATTATCGGGAATTGGGTGACAAGAAGAAGTTTGCCGGTACAACACTCAAAATCAGGCATCTCAGGTGATGGATTTCTTTACGTACAAACTAATTAGGTTGTAGGTCAGTTTGGAAGACTGTGAAAAAATTTTGATTTTAGTAATCTTCACCAAACCCACACAAAATAATCAAATATTCATATAAAACCCAGTAAACCTTGAGAATGTTTTTTTTTTATAATGTTTTGAAATAAAACACATGCTTCAGTTAAAAGCCTTGGACAGCGAATGAATGAAAATTGCAAAGCCTCAAAAGCACCTGATGAACTTTGAGCTTTACATCAAGCTGCTTCTGATTCATTAAGATGCCAGTACAGACGTGCCTGTTCGGCCAGAGTCGCCTTGAAGTTGTGCGTCTTCTGAAATGAAGCTGGTTTATTAAAAATGCAGTTCACACCGTCATGCAAAACAAGGCTTCAACCCCCTTGCCCCTTGAGCAGAGTGTCCACAAGAAGACTGCCAGAGATCTGACAGATGAAATTAGAACAAACTGTTAATCACTGAATGGAAACAGATCAAATCTGGACAAACACATCCTGAAGACACTGACAGAAGAGGGGGATTTGAGCAAATACATGAACTACATCCATAATCCCAGAGAGCACTTCCACGAGTTTCATCAGAGATGAAGTCAATCGGTACATCACTGATCAGTTCAGTATCTGTGTTTTACCCAAGATAAATGAGAACATTAAACTCCTGCAGCAGAAGATCATAGAAGCAGCACATGAATCTACTGAACGTGTTCAAGTGAGCAGACGAGATGTTGGTTTGTGGTTGAAGAGTTTCACACAGCAGCTCTCAGATGTGCTGATCTTCTCTGAAAAAGACCTCAGTGGAGAGAAAATGTGATAAGACAAAAACCTCCCGCTATAGTGTCTGAGATCAGCAGAAGATTCAACACAGAGACATTTCCATTAAAAGCTGGTCTGTAAGTTCATACCAGATGAGCTTCTGATTGATCTCTTCTCTCAGTGCTGTTGGGTTCAGTGTATGTTCTGTGGGGCCATCTGCACCAACACCTTAGAAAACCATGATGGAGATCACAGTGTTGCTTTCCACAGATTTAGAGGAATTAATGGGTTGTTTTACATGGGAACATCAAACTTGGCTATTACACATCATCAGAAGTGAGTGATGGATATTTTTACCCCAATGAATACAGAAGAGCAGGAGGAGTTTATGCAGCCTGGAGCATCACCCCCGAAGTGGGTTGTGTGCAGATTCCAGCAAGATCTGCAAAAATACTACAGTAAACATTTGAGGGGAGGGGAAATATACCAGATAAATGGAGACATTACACAAAACAGGAAGCAGTTGAGAGTTTGGATACAAATACATCTAATGGAGAAGATGAAGAATGAGTCTCCTCTCCGATTCAGATCACAGTCAGAAATGAGTTTCTCCGATGTTCATTACTGAGACTCTGAGCTCAGCTACACCTCGGAGGATCAGCGCTTCATCAAACACAGAAGAGGATTTAAGACTCAGTCCCACATTCAAATGTCAGAGAAACCCAAGCAACATATTCTGAAGACACGCATGATTGACAAAGCTTTAAATGTTTGATGTAAATTACAGTTTAAACCGCTTAATCGATATGATAAACCAAAAAAGATAAAGACATTAATGACTGATGATGTATGATGTGTAAATACATAAATGGTCCCTAGTGGTCGTTAAAGCTCATTGCTGATAATCAGAGAGTAGGAGGAAAGTGTGGAGAAAAGATTAAATGTCTTAGATTATATACAAATCCAGTGCAAGCATACTTCATACACTGTGAGAACAATACATTTCTACATAAACTTGTCAAATGTCCTATTATAGTTATTTCAGTTATAATGTGACATTTTGACCATAGGAATTAAAATGTTAAACACACTATTACTGTGAAGATCTCTAGCACTTTTTAATTCCCTTTATCCATTAACCTTGACATTATTGTATTTACAGTGTCTTGTGTGCAGAATAACTCAGTTCATCTGTCAGTCAAACTATCTGTTCCCAAAATAAATGAACATAGAAACATCAAGGATAATGTGTGCATCATTTCTGTTTCATGTAGTCTTTCAGTATCACATGAATTCTGCAAATGACATTCAACTGCTATTTGAAATATATTGTTTAAGAACGTTATTACGATGGACAGACCAATGCATAAAAATACTCTCACTGTTGGAAAACTAAATCTTTATTAAGAGTCACCGAATTTCCTGGGAAAGTCATTTAAAGGGTACGACAGAAACAAGAGCTTATTAGACAATTCTGTGGCATAATTTGTGGTGCTACTTATTATTTTGTTTAGGGTAATTATCTATAAAGCTATGTAATTAACCAACTAGTAAATCAATCAAAATCATCTTCTGCGCATATGCAATCAATAAATGGTCAATGAATGAAAAAACAAAACAAAAACACATCTGTTAATAAATAGCAATGCAAGTACAGGAAATATTAATGCATGTTTTATTTCTGGGGCTATACCTGCAAACTTCAGCAAACACATCTGGAACTAAAGCTGCTCATTTCATGCTGATGGTCTGGTTTTACTCCATGGATCCGACAGTGAAATCTAGTCTCTTCCGTCCTGTTCAGCTCACTTCTTGTAGATCTGATGTCGTAAACAATGAAAGCAACAGCAGCCACGCCCACCAGAGCAGAGACGACCAATCGGATCACAGTTTCTATAAAACCACAACAGTGGATGTGATCTGAAAAAAGAGAAACGCTGAATCAGAATTGTGCATTTACCTCCTTTTCAATTAGACTTGCAGGTTTTGTGGGTTATATTTCTACAAAAGTTCAAGCATTCATCCACAAGCTTTACTGTGTGCACGTTTGAGAGTGTCTGCATGCACACTTGCTTTGCTTAGCCAAACAGCATTAGCTGGAATTGCTTAATACAATTAACAGAATTCTAGACTCTTTTAAAAGCTTCAGCCTCTTCTTTGATCTCAGCTCTCCTAGAAACCTGTGCTATTATGTGAGTCTTTCTCAGATCCATATTTTTTTACTCAATGTTTTATAAAGCAACACGGCTCGCGCTCAGACACCTGCTTCACAGCTGTCACTCTTCTGCGGTCTGCTCTCGGTTCCAGTTAAATCACAAAAGAAAAAATGCACTTATGTGCACAAACAGTTTCACAAACAAAGCATTTGCCGAATGCATAAATGCACTGTAAATTCACACCTTGCAGTTTTAATTGATTTATGTGGTTGATTGTTTAGCACCCATCAGCAGTAACATAAAGCAACACCTATGAATAAGTTTGGAAACAACTGCACGAGTGTGCTTTCCATTCTGACTTTCAGGGGAGAAAGCTTTCAAAAATCTAATATCAGTTCTCACATATATTATAAGTGATGCACCTGAACATGGCTGATGGAGTTCAGTAATGTTGGCGTCCTCAGTCGGCTTGATGGTTAAATGATTTACCGCACAGCTGGATGACAACAAATGGGAGATTGATGATCTTTCTGGTGATGAAGTATTTTGTGGAGGTTCTGATAATTACAGATGCATTGACGTCAATCTCATCTTCTGATCTTTATTTATAGTCAACCCATATTTGTCTTTAAATGTGCATGTACGAAATATTGAAAAATAGCGAATTCAAAGGAAGAATGGTCATGCTAACACTGTTATTCTCTACTCACCGTAGACAGTGAGATTGAAACGCATGTAGCTGGTCTCGTTGCTGATAACTGTTACTTTATAAAGTCCGGAGTCTGTGGTTCTGATGTTTGTGATGGTCAGAGATCCAGTCTGATGATCCAGCTTCAGTCTGTCTCTGAATCTCTCATCGGGACCAGCATATGTCGAGTTGGTTTGCGTGAGTCTGTCGGCTTCAGCTATTCTTGTGCTTCCGAACATCCACTGAATCAACAGATATTTCTGTACTGCAGTAAGATCAGCGTTTAGAGTGACAGAATCTCCCTCCATCACTGACACCGTCTTCATATCTACAGAAAAATGGGAAGATGTTGTGTAACAGACTATAGTTATCAGTTAAAGTGATTTGTATTATACAGGTATTTTCTTTAGTGAATGTTGGATAAATTGCAGTAAATAAGAAATAAAGTGGGATGTGATTAGACATTAATAACAATGAAACGTCAGAAATTCAGTTTCAGCTCATTTTTCTCTCATGAAAACAGAAGTGAAACAAACATTTGTTCGTGGATCAGACTGATTTCAAACTAAATATCACATTTTGTTTTGGATTTCCTTCCACTGTTTATCAGCTGGGGCCAAAACTATTACGTTTTTAAAGATATCAAAGAGATACGAAACTGATCAACTTTTTTTATGAAAACCACCGCAGTGCATTAAAATGAATGGACCGTCATAATTAAAATAACTCTCTTAACTTACCAACCAGCCGCCACAAGCACACAAAGAACAAAACAAAAGCGTTAACCATCTTCCCCAGTCGTTGTCAAGCACTTCAAACCTGCAGTAAACCACTCTAAACGCCCCGTTCACTGCAGCAGCGACTGCTTTCTCTCTTCTCAGGTCGTCAAACGCCAATAGTAGGTGTTCCCACTGCTGGTTATATAGCAAGAGCATGTTGTGGCAAGGGTTTGATATTTTAAATGTTTTCTTACCGCTTAAAATAAATGATTTGGAGGAGGACTGTTGGACATTAAGTCCCTAAACTTAAGCCCCCATTAAAATATTTTAAAAATAAATTGTAATTATTTACTATTGTAGTTGCACACAATAAAATACAAACTAGAAGTTCATACATATTATACATATATAATGACAATGAGGCAATATTAATCGGTTCAAATAAAGTGTCAAAAGCAAATCATTTTGTGGGTTGAGCAAAACTGTTAAAATACATTATGTAATATACATAAATGATATAAACAATATAATGTAAACAGTTAACTTATGTCCATTATGTACAAATGCCGGCAGAGGGCGACAACGGCCCGGTGATTGTGTTTGTTAGACTTTAATCCTTGGCATTTAATTCAAACATTTAATTTAAATATCCACTAAACTCGGAGTCTGCAAACTCGGTCCTGGAGGGCCGCTGTCTATAACAATCATAATATAGCATAGAATAGTGCTATCATTTGTAAACCTACGCTAAGACAGAATACAATGTTTCTAAATATGTGAATTATTGTTCATCGTGATTTCAGAATAAAACGTTGAACCCTCTTGCTCTGAGTTTGCGTTTTTTAATCTCCACATGCTTATTTAAGAAATTATAGTAGCATTTCTATCGTAAAGAAGTGGCCAAACATTAACTATATTAACAGAACTCTGACTTCCTTACCAATTCATTTTAATTCCTTCATACTCACGCAATTATTTCATACTCGACATATTTCTACAAAATAATCAGCACACACAGAGGCCATGGTCTTATTCACTTTATCACATTCACAAGAGCAAGCAAAGCAAACTATGCCACAATGTGCATGCTTTCAGTGCTACTGTATTCTTAGTATATAGCCTATTTAGAATTAGTAACTGCACCAATGAGAGCCACAGAGTTTCACTAATAATTTATTTTGCACAAGGCAATACATTGTTTGAATTCTTTTGGTGTTACTGGATATAATACATAACACTTTATAATCAACACAAATCCTCACACTAAACTGAACTATCCTCTGTCTGTTTGCATCTGTAGATTTCTTCTAAATTAAAACAAGCTGACCTGCATATTTAAACATAACATTTCAGGGGAAAAGACTCTTGATGCAAGTCAATAACTGGGGAAGTTCTGTGGCGATACGCTTAAGTTATTTTGTTTATCTTATTTACAGGCAGTGCTTTGTCAAATGTATGCAATTTAAAGCATTTTAATTAGTTAACACCTTTTGCATATCAATGTGGCAATTGTGATGACGTTATTAGACACAAATGTTACTGTATTCACTTGTAGTGTCCCCATTAGGTACAGTACAGTACATTAGATTAATGAGTAGCCTGTATGACCATCATTTATTGCCTTTCAGCTAACTTATTGCATTAGCTCATGAGTCATGCATGTTAGCAAGACACAGGTTAACTATATTTGTCTGCAGTGTAATTAGCTGTAAAGTCGAGGCACTGGTAGCTTAGTTTGTTCACCTCCACACACAGTGGCAGCTGGCAAGCCTAAAAATAGATGCAGAATTATTTTTTTATAGTCTTAATAAAAAAAAAACATTTTTTCTAAACTCGGTCTATTGTTGTTTACTTACTATGGAAGAAGATTAGGTCCAAGCAATAATAAAAAAATAAAACCATCTTGAGATTAAAGTTGTTAAATTTCAAGAAAAAAGTTTAGATAAAATGTTGAGAATAAACTCTATAAACGACGAGAAAAAAGTCGTTACATTTCGAGAAAAAAACTCGTAAAATTTCGAGGAAAAGTCCAAATAAAATGTTGAGAATAAACTCATTAAATTACGAGAATAAACTCATTAAATTTAGAGAAACAAACTCGTTAAATTTCAAGGAAAAGTCCAAATAAAATGTTGAGAATAAACTCATTAAATTACGAGAATAAACTCATTAAATTTAGAGAAAAAAACTAGTTAAATTTAGAGGAAAAGTCCAAATAAAATGTTGAGAATAAACTCATTAAATTACGAGAATAAACTCATTAAATTTAGAGAAAAAAACTAGTTAAATTTAGAGGAAAAGTCCAAATAAAATGTTGAGAATAAACTCATTAAATTATGAGAATAAACTCGTTAAATTACGAGAAAAAAACTAGTTAAATTTCGAGGAAAAGTCCAAATAAAATGTTGAGAATAAACTCATTAAATTATGAGAATAAACTCATTAAATTTCAAGGAAAAGTCCAAATAAAATGTTGAGAATAAACTCATTAAATTATGAGAATAAACTCATTAAATTTCAAGGAAAAGTCCAAATAAAATGTTGAGAATAAACTCATTAAATTATGAGAATAAACTCATTAAATTTCAAGGAAAAGTCCAAATAAAATGTTGAGAATAAACTCATTAAATTATGAGAATAAACTCATTAAATTTCAAGGAAAAGTCCAAATAAAATGTTGAGAATAAACTCATTAAATTATGAGAATAAACTCATTAAATTTCGAGGAAAAGTCCAAATAAAATGTTGAGAATAAACTTGTTAAATTATGAGAATAAACTCATTAAATTTCAAGGAAAAGTCCAAATAAAATGTTGAGAATAAACTCATTAAATTACGAGAATAAACTCATTAAATTACGAGAATAAACTCATTAAATTACGAGAATAAACTCATTAAATTACGAGAATAAACTCATTAAATTACGAGAATAAACTCATTAAATTACGAGAATAAACTCATTAAATTACGAGAATAAACTCATTAAATTACGAGAATAAACTCATTAAATTACGAGAATAAACTCATTAAATTACGAGAATAAACTCATTAAATTACGAGAATAAACTCATTAAATTACGAGAATAAACTCATTAAATTACGAGAATAAACTCATTAAATTACGAGAATAAACTCATTAAATTACGAGAATAAACTCATTAAATTACGAGAATAAACTCATTAAATTACGAGAATAAACTCATTAAATTACGAGAATAAACTCATTAAATTACGAGAATAAACTCATTAAATTACGAGAATAAACTCATTAAATTACGAGAATAAACTCATTAAATTACGAGAATAAACTCATTAAATTACGAGAATAAACTCATTAAATTTAGAGAAAAAAACTCGTTAAATTACGAGAAACAAACTCGTTAAATTTCCAGGAAAAGTCCAAATAAAATGTTGAGAATAAACTCGTTAAATTATGAGAAAAAAGTTGTTAAATTTAGAGCTTCTCACAGCGCTGTTCAGTGGTCGCCTGATCGAGACCTGCGAGTAAACGCATTTGTTCTGAGCTCGCGTAAAATAAGTACAAAAATGCATTACATTTCTGGGGTTATATTAATGTATCACTGAAGGGAACTGTCTTGAGAACATCAACAGGTAGGGTTGCCAACCTTTCCATAGGCTATAATACAGGATCGTCCTTAATATACGGGATATTCTTAAACTTAGACCTCATTATTGAAGCACAAATTCTTTTTAATTCAAATAAATAAATAAATGCTTTTTCATTCATCCATAGGCTGTATGGTTAAAGGCACTATTAAAGGTGTGTTATGACTATGTTGTCCTGAGTGTATAATATTTTATAAAGTTTTATGGTTATGTTGCGAGCCTAAGTATAGTTTTACACATCAGCCCAGTTTATTCTGTAACGTTACTGATACACAGAGTTGGGGTTTTTAGCAAATTAATCTTAATCTAATTAAATATGTGGCACAACCAGTTTTTCTGATGCACACCCAGAGTCTCTTTCTCCACACAAGACGAGAACTATGGCGTTCAGACGGGTTCTTTAATATGACGTTGCAACATGCACTCGTCTCACTGAACGTCTCACTGACGTCTTAATTTTTATTTTTTTGCTACTTAATCCATTCATTTTAAGAAGCAGACGAGGTGTAGACGTGACGCAGATGTGACGTGATTCACGTGTAGCAGAGAAGTTTTTTTTTTTTTTAAATGTCACTAACACGTATCATAACATGCTGCTCACACGGCTCAGCGCAGTGTGTCAGCCAATGCACAATTTACTTGCCCTTCATTCATTCCTCTCAATGGACGTGACATCTGCGTCTGACTTAAAAAAAAAATATTGCAGTTTTAAGTGCGTCTGTCTTTTTCCTGGCTAACTTATACAATATGCATTAATTATGTGCATATCAAGTATAAATATATTAATATAATAATAATAAAATAATTTAGACATGTTTTCATTACACTCTTTGTAAAAGTATAAAGATAACAAAGTATAAAAAGTCTATAACATATAAATGTTATGTCTCTGAAAGGAATCCTTTTGTGAAGTTTGTGTTGCTTTAGGTATACTCATGTCGTTTAGGTTTATTAAATCCTTT